GCATGATAAATGGTTCTCTACTCCCTCACTTTCAATCTGGAGGTGACTTTGGGTCTAAAATGAGTCTCTTATAGACAGTATATTGATGGGTCTTCCTTTTTTATCCAATCTGATACCCTTTCAGAGGTTTTCATTGGTGCATTTAGCCCATTTACATTCAGAGTAACTACTGACAGATACGGATTCAGTGCCATTTTATTACCTGTAAAGTCCCTGTTTCTGTAGACTCTGGTTCTTTTGGTCTGTTACTTTTGGACTCACTCTTTGCTTACAGGATCCCCTTTAATATTTCTTGCAGGGCTGGTTTAAGAGCTTACAAATTCTTTTGGTTGCTGGTTTTTGTATTTTTTAAGATTTTATTTATTTATTTGACAGAGAGACAGCATGCACAAGCAGGGGGAGTGGCAGGCAGAGGGGGAGGGAGGAGCAGACTCCCCACTCCCCAGAGCAAGGAGCCTGATGTGGGGCTCGATCCCAGGACCCTGGGATCATGACCTTAGCCAAAGGCAGATGCTTAACTGACTGAGCCACCCAGGTGCCCTTTTTTAGTTTCTATTTGTCCTGGAAGCTCTTTATTTTTCCTTCCATTCTGAATGACATCTTTGCTGGATTCTTGCCTGCATGTTTTTTAAAATTTAGTACCCTGAATATATCATGCCAGCCCTTTCTGGCCTGCCTAGTCTCTGTGGATAGTCTGCTGCCTTTCTAATGTTCCTACCCTTGTACGTTAAGGACCTCTTGTCTCGAGCTGCTTTCAGGATTTTCTCTTTATCTCTGAAATTTGCAAGCTTCACTATTATATATGTCGGGGTATTGACCTATTATTGATTTTGAGGGGGGATTCTCTGTGCCTCTTGGACTTGAATACCTTGAATAATCTTCCCAAGATTAGTGAAGTTCTCAGCTATGATTTGCTCAAATATACCTTCTGTCCCCCCCTTTCTTCTTCCTCTGTGACCCCAATAATTCTAATACTGTTTTGCATTATGGTATCACTAATTTCTCGAAGCCTCCCCTCATGGTCCGTTAGTTGTTTTTCTCTCTTTTCCTCAGCTTCCTTCCTTTCCATCATTTTGTTTTCTATGTCACTGACTCTCTCATCTGCCTCAGTTACCCTAGCTATTAAAACATCCATTTCAGAGTGCATCTCAGTTAAAGCATTTTTTATATTGGCCTGATTAGATTTTATTTCTGCACTAAGAGATTCTCTAGTGTCTTTTATGCTTTTTTCAAGCCTAGCTAGTAACTTTACAATTGTTATTCTGAATTCTGGGTCTGACATTTTCTTATATCCATATCGATTAGATTTGTGGCAGAGAGTATTACCTCTGGTTCTTCCTTCTGTTGTGAATTTCTCCTTCTAGTCATTTTGTCCAGAGAAGAACAGGTGAACAAGAGAACAAAATAAAAAATATCAACCATGATCCCAGTGAAATACATACTAGATAAATCTGAAGAGGTCAGAAACCAAAGAAGAAAAGAAAAAAAAGGGAAAAAAGAGTGAATATTATCTCACAGGTGGACAAAACAGGATAATCCACTTGATCCTGGGTGTATTTTGGTCTGTTTGTTAGAAGATACTAAATCCCAAAATTATAAAAAAATACATGTATATATATATATATACACACACACACACACACACACACACAAATAAAACTGAATACAGTGAAATGAAGCCAAAAATGAAGAATAATATAAATGTAAAAATGAAAATGAAAAAAAGCCTTAAAAACAGAGTTGATGAAATAAGAAACTAGCTGAAAAGGAAAAAAAAAAGAAAAATTTACAATGAAATACAAAAGACTCATGAGAAAAAAACCTCAAATTCTATATACTATTTTCCCTTATCACAGGAGTTTTTCAGTTCTGTGTGATCCATAAACTTGGTATTTGTCTGACGTTCCTGCTGGACTTCTGAGGGGAGGGCCTGTTGCACTGATTCTCAGGTGTCTTTGCCTGGGCGGAGTTGTACCACCCCTTGCCAGGCAGCCAGCGCAGTGTAAGCTGCTTCGGGTTGCTCTATGTGGCTTTTGTTCCCCGAAGGCTTTTTGCACTGCTTTAGAGGATGACAAAAAAGTAAAAATGGCAGTGTGCTGATTTGCTGAACGATCACAGCCCCCACTTTTCAGTGCACCCTCAGGGACAAGCGGTCAATCCCTTTTGTGTGCAATAAACTGTGCAGACTCCTGTGGTGCATACCCAAACAAATCCTCCTGGGGTGGGGTCTCATCATGGCCCCCCTGCTCGCTGGGCCCCCGCTTGGGGAGCAGTTGCCTGACCCTGTGAGAATCCCCGCCACTCCTCCCAGGGGAAGGAGCAGAGTGTTGGAGTGGTTGTCACTTACTGGACCTCTGCTTAGAGAGCAGTCGCAGGATTGTGCCGTGGTTCCTGGTTTATAGCAATGCCTAGCTTGAGATCCCACTCCCAGGCTCGCTGATTGTAGCCGGCTTCCCGGCTCCAATGCTTGGGGAACTCTGCCACACTCAGGCACCCCCATTCTTTCTGTGACCCTGGGGATCCTGAGACCACACTGTCCCACCTAAGATTCTGCCCTGCTTCACCACCTGAGCACTTTTCAGGCACTGGAGCAGACTTCTAAGAGTTCTGATTTTGAATTCTGCAGCTATATCACTTTCTAGTAGCTGGCTTACAGAGGATCCCTCCCCACCATGGTTTATCTTTGATATATCCCCTCAGATTCACATCTTTGCACCTCCTACCTTACAAAAAGTGGTTGCTTTTCTATTTGTATAATTTCAGCAATTCTTTACTTAGATATCAGGTTGAATTCACAGGGGTTCAGAATGATTTGATAGATATCTAGCTGAATTCCTGGGACCAGATGAAATGAGGGTCCCCCACTTTTCCACCATCTTCCCTAGAAAGCCCTACCATATTTTTTTTTAAAGGCTAGCTTTATGTGGCTTTTTATATTTTGATGAAGAACAATCTGAATTCTGAACACACATATACAATGCCAGGCTTTCACTGACTTCCAGATGCTGCACTTCTCAGTATAGCTCAAGATCTCTACTCCCTGGAATATATGGACTTCCCTTCACCCACAACCACTCTCCCTGCTACACACCCATTTTCTATTCACTCTGGAACGGGGCTTCAGCAGCAAGAGTGGAAGGGAGAAGAGGAAGATGGGCAGGAGAAAAAGTGCCCAGGGCCATTCCCCTTGCCCACCACAAATGTGGTCCTTTCTCTGCCTTTGCTGGAGTTAAACCCAGTTTCTTACACCTGCATATTATGGAAAAGTAAGACACCCTTCATTTATTTTTACACTTAAAGGCCCAATGAAAAGTGCCCACTTTATATTTCCCTTGAGACCCTTGAAGGTCTAAGTAAAAGAGGGAGGAACGCTGTTTCTATGTGACTAGAAGTCCAAAGTATTAGGAAACCTAGAGATGCATTGTACGCACCTTCTTGAGTACCTGCAGGATTCAGAGAAGCTATAGATACTCTACTATTCTGCAGTTTGCTAGGGAAGAGCAAAAATCTTAGTCCGAAGTAGCGGGAAACAGAAATGGGAAAGGAAGCATATAGACCAAGTTCTTAGGAATCTCTTGAAATGATCTGGGAGATAAATGTGAAATGACCAAGGGAATTTAAACCAGCGTGGTAAACCTGTTCTTTGATAGGCATCTTGGCCAGGACTCACATGGCTGAAGTCCTTGCCTCAAGTTGTGGGTATCACTTTTACTCAACTACAGCTATAGAAAATCCTGCCTTCCACAAAGATACAGGTTTCTACTAGGATGAAAGTTGAAACAGCACAGAACTAAAAATGCACTGCCTCAGGTACATAATTTTGTACAACGGAAGGTTCTAGAACTGTACTGCTCAATACATTAGCTACAAGCCATATGTGGCAATTTAGATTTAAATCAATTAAGATTAAATAAAATTAAAAATTCAGTTCCTTATTCACACTAGCTACATATTGGACACACACTAGCTGTCCCTTTGGACAGCACAAAATCATATCCATCACTAGAAAGCTCTAAAGGACAGTGCTATTTTAGGGCATTATTAGCACAAACGCAAAGGTTAACTTGGAAATATGAGCTACTCTGGCAACTGTGTGATTAATATATCTAAGAGAAGATATGACTTACAGATAACCTAAAGTAACTCAAATTGGAGGGTGCCTTCAACCAAGCCTGCTACCCAATATCCTTGAAGTTTTCATTTATGTCATTATTGATATCACATTAAACAGATAAAAAATGTAAATCAGAGTGATTAACTAACTTGCCCCAAATAGTTGTATCTGTAACTACAGCAGAATATCAAGTTTCTTTTTTTCTATATATCTCCAAAGTTCCAAGAATCCTATCTGCATAGAACCTAATATAGGATCTTGCACAGAGAATGTATCCAGTAATATTGGTTGCATCACTGATGCAATTACTGATTTCAATTGATTTCAATTATTTCAATGATGCAATGAGTGAAGGAATAAATGAGTAGAGCCAGTAGTAAAACAGAGCAATAGGAGAACATGACTAAGAGCCTCAGAAGTAAAATTGTGGTCACTGAATTGCTAAGGGTGAGCTGGAATTTCAACCAGCAATTTCTTGGAAAACATGTGATGCCTTCCTTATGGTTTTCTGAATCATTCTCTTGCCCACTTAATTAATGCTGGTATCTTTCACTTTGGACCCACTTCTCTGGGAGTCCTTTGCCTATCTACAGAATTTCCACCCAGTGCTAGATTTAAGTAAAGTCTCTGTGTATCCCAGCCATAAAGATTTGCTCCATTACCAAATAAGTTATTCTCAACTCAACAAAGAAGGGAATAAATTTAGCGTTGAGGGAAACTGCTACAGGGGGGATAAGGAATGACCCCTTAAGTTTCAAATTTGTAAAATCTGCTGTCTGCTTTAGTTTTCTCTAGAAGAGACAGGATGACCAGCTTTTTCTATTATTTTCTTCATGTTCCCCCGCCCCTAATCAAGTCAAAATTTTGAGCCATGATTATTACTTACAGGAGATTCGCTGACTCCAAAGATGTCTCTGACATCCCGAACAGATTGCTTGTTCTTTTTTCTCATGGTTTGAGTGTAAGTATTATATCTCTTTTTCACTGCAGCTGCTTGGGTTCGAGTCAGCGTAGAGAGCAAGGCTTTGCCATCCTCCTCTTCATCACCCGAGATCAGGGTTGATAAACCCACGTCTTGCAACCACTCTGCTTCAAGTTCTCCTTCTGAAAATAACATTACCAAGAAAAGGTTAGAACATTCTGCATTTGATTAGATGACGTGTATATCTACAGGCCTGCGCATATCAGTGAATAGGAAGTGTCAGTAAACACTATATTAAGGCCATCTTGGACGCTGAAGGCATGTTAAGTGAAATAAATCAGACAAAGACAAATACCGTATGATCTCACTTCTATGTGAAATCTTAAAACAAAAACCACAAGTTCACAGATACAGAGAACAGACAGGTGATTGCCAGAGGTAGGAGGTAGGTGAAATAGGTGAAGGGAGAAAAGTACAAGCTTCCAGTTATAAAATAAGTAAGTCATGGGGATATACTGTATAGCATGATGATAATAATAGTTAATAATACTGTATTGCAATATTAGAAAGTTGCTAAGGAATAAATCTTAAACACTGTCATCACACGGAAAAAAATCTGTAACTATGGTGATAGATATAAACCAGACTTAATTGTGGTGATCACTTTGCAACGTATACAAATATCAAATCATTATGCTGTACACCTGAAACCAGTATGTCATATGTCAGTTATACCTGAATTTTAAAAAAAGAGACCATCCTTTTTCCCAGAGTAATTGTGGGAAAGGCCTATGGGAATGAATGAAAAATTCGTATGATATTTTTTTAAGGATTTATTTATTTGAGAGAGAGAGCACGCGTGTACATGTGAGTGGGAGGAGGGGCAGATGGAGAAGGAGAGAGAGAAGCAGGCTCCACTCGCACTCGGAGCCTGACACAGGGCTTGATCCCATGACCCTGAGTTCACAACCTGAGCCAAAATCAAGAGTCACACACTTAACTGACTGAGCTACCCAGGTGCCCTATATGATATTTTTTAAATAAGTCAAATTTTAAAGTGTTTTCTAGGAGAGTAAGGTTAATTGGAAAATTTAGTAAGGTAATTTTCTTCACCAGAGAGTTAAATATAAACCATATCTGGACTTCCAATCTCAAACAATGATAAAATATGAATATTTAAACTAAAACTGTAATAGAAAAAGAGTGGCTTAGTGGTACAGGAAAGGGTTTTTTAATCACTCAAATGCTGGTTTAAATCCCAACGCAACCACTTACTAGGTGAATGGCTTTGGAAAGTTTTTAGATATCTCTAGGCTTCTGTCCTGTTAGCAAAATGGAGGTAATAATAAGATGTATCAGGTGACTATGAGGATTGTTTTATCAATTTATTCATGAGAGATGGCAAAGAATCTGGAACAGAGGATGAATTCAATAGATATTCATTCTCTTACTTTTCTCTGTAAGTTTGAACATTAGGTAATCTTTCCTTTTTTTTCAGAAGGCAATTAAAAAACTTGAAATTCATTATAATGAGGGTTAATTGCTATTATAAATTAGATGTGCAGAAATAATTTTAAAAATTCAGAATAACAACATCATGTAACAGAAAATTCACTACACATACATTTCTGGGAACTATGCTAAACAGGCATTACCTGAATGTGATTTATTTAAAAAGCAGATTAGACTGATTTATAAATAGCCTGTCAAGTCATTAGTCTAAGACTCTTGGACTCTGCTTACATTATCGCATCACTGGTATATGAACAAAGCCTTCTAAATGTACTTTACACGTTCAATTTCTTAGCTAGGCAATCTTTTCTTTACCATCTTGTCTCTATTATTCATTTCCTTTATAAGCTACCCCTTTAACAGAAAATGCAAAGGTAAACATAAGCTTACTAGCCTTAATCTAAAATAATAAACCTTTTAAATTAGTGAGCTGTGACTCTGAAATCTTCCTTTACTTAAGCCTTAGGTAAGATTTTCATTTTTAAGACAAAATTTACAAATATAGTTTAATATTAAAGTCTTAAAAATTGGAATTTTTCCTCCCTCCACCTCTGTAAACAGTAAAGAGTAGAAGGAAGGAGTAATTGGAGTTAACATATGCTAGGGGTGAGGAGGGTCTAAATCCTTGCACTCGGACTACAGAAATCTGTAGAATATATATTCTCCATAGGAAAGAAATTTCTTAGAGATCAGTGTTACTCCTGTAGCATTGCTAAAGTATGGAAATTGCAACCCCGTGTTCATCACTCCAGTTGCCAAATATATATCTTCCACATAGAACACTCTTGGATTTCAGCTCCATATATCCAACTACCTACTCAACATCTACTTGACTCTATCAATCATATATCAAACTCAACATGTTCAAACCTGAACACATATTCTTCATTCCCAACTCTAGGCCTCTTTCAGTATTCCACATTTCAGTAAATGAAACCCACCATCCATCTATCTAATTAGCAATGAAACTTAGGAAACATTACTGACATCTCCCTCTTTTACACATCAAAACCAATATCACCAAATCCTTTTGATATTAATTTCTTTTTATTTCTCAAAAATTTCCCACTTTATTTATCTCTTCCACTCTGACCCTGGTCCAAGTTACCATCATGATTCACCTGAACTGCTGCAGGAGCCTCCCAGCTGTTCCTCCCATTGGACTCCCTTCCAATCCATTCTCCATATCGTAACTAAATTAGACCTTTCCAAATGCAAGTGTAAGCTCTTTTCTAAAATAATGCCACAGTTCTTCCTTGCTCTTGGGATTAGGAATAAAACCCTTAACACAGTCCACAAGACATGAAGCTGCTGACTTTCCTGTCCACAGCTCGTTACCATGCTCTTTTCACTCTCTTCTCTCTAGCAGTACTGGCTTACATTTGTTCCTCAAAAGCTCCATGCAATATTTTGTTACAAGGCCTTTGGACATGCCAATCGTTCTATTTGGTCCCCTAATTATTGGTCATTCAATCTTTCAGATCTTAGTTTATTCATTTCTCCCTCAATGACGTCTTCTTTTTTTTTTTTTTCCTGAACCCTTCAGTCAAGGTCAGGTCCTACTATTACCCATCCTAATCCTGCTGTGTGTGTTTTTCCTTCAAATAATTCTTTCCCCAATATACATCTAGTTATATCATTTCATTAATTATTTTCTTTCCTCCTAGATTATAAACTCCATTAGAGTAGGAAACATTTCTGCCTTTGTTTATAACTCTAACACCAACATCTTACAATGCCTGCACAGAGTAGGTACAAGTATTTGTGAATTAATTAATTCTCAGTTGAAATATATAATTATTCCAAGTCAGAAAATGATGAATGAAAAACATCAACTTTCAAAAATAACTGTAGCTATCATACATACTATTCTGTGCTGAAAATCCACCAGGTTTATAGCTTTGTTAGAGAAAGCTATCAAAAAAGGGAATAAAATCTTCCAGTAAAGGTAGAGTAGCTTGTATAGAAATAAAAATTCTGTGTACAACAATTATGAACTCTGTACTAAGTACATAAAATAACTATTTGAGGGTAATGGAGAAGAACCAAGTGTAGGCAGGAACTGAAAAATAATTAAATTTTGATTCAAGAAAATGTACTATGTGAGATTTACATCTACACAACTTTTCGACTGAGGTCATTTTCCAATCCCTACACTATACAGAGTGTGTAGAACACAAACAGAAAATCATAGTCTTACTTATTTCAAGAGTCAGAGGATGGAGTATGGGATTACTAGGATATCTGGAAAATGAGGAGCATATTCCTGTTAGAAGGGGAGCTCCAAAATCTGTGCATAAACTCTCATCAAATCCTTGACTAAACATTAAATCAAAAAGGTGTATTTGAAACTCCAGGCATCCTATTGAAAAATAGCAGCCAAAAGGCTAAAATAAATAGCCAGGCTGCATAGAGCAGAAAAGATGGTATATAACCAAGTTAACTGCTAGAACTGAAATTAACTCCCTTTACAGGAAGATAATGGGATACAGTCTCTGAAACATATCAATGTTATAATATTACATTATCAAAGATGTTTCAATAGCTAGGATATAAGAAAAACAAAAAAAATGGACTAATTTGGCAAGAGAAAAGGTCATCAACAGAAAGTGACTCAGATGACTCTGATATTGGACAAGGACTTTTAGGAAAGATTCTCATGAATGAATAGAGAATTTCAGGAAAGAAATGAAAAATATAAAAAAGAAACTAAAAGAACTAAAACCTAAATTACAGAACTAAAATTAAAATATATTAAGTAAAAAACTTGCTGGAAGGGCTTAACAGTGTATTAGAGACTTTAAAAGAAAGGGCTGGTAAACTTGAAGATTACATCAATAGAAATTATCCAATCTGAAAGACAGAAAAGTATTTTAAAATATTTAAAACAGAGCCCAAGTGATCTATTGGAAATGTTAAGTATTGTAATATATATATAGTTTGACTTTCAGAGAAGACAGACAGTGGTATAGAAAAAAAGTATTTGAAGAAGTAATGTCCAAAAGTTTTCAAACTTTGTTGAAAAACCAGCTAGCTTAACTAATAATACCAAGTAGGTCACATACAAAAGAAACTGCACTTAAGCACCTTAAAGACAACCTGCTGAAAACCAAAGAGAGAGAAAATTTGAAAGCAGTCACAGACAACAGATTACGTCAGGGGAAGAACAATATGAAAGCACTGACTCCTTATTAGAAACAGTAGAGGTCAGAACACAGTATGATGACATTCAGAACATCCTGAATGAAAATAAAAACCTGTCAACCAATAATTATATGTCTAGCAAAAATACCCTTCAAGAATGAAGGTAAAATAGTCATTATCACACGAATTAAAGCTAACAAGTTTATTGCCAGCAAACTTGCTCTGTAATATATGCTAAAGGAAGCGCTTTAGGCTAAAGGGAAAAGACATCAAATGGAGACTGGATATATAAAAAAGAAGTAGTGTAAATAAAAATGCAGATACTGACTTCTTTAAAGGACATATGACTACTTCCTCTTCCCCCGAAATTAAGTCTTAAAGCCTAAATCCATAGAGCACAGCAAGGCAGAGGAGCAGGGTGGACTGGCATGCTGGAACCCAAGTGGGATGAGCAGGGCAAGCATGAAAAAGAGAGGAAACTGATAATACATGGAGGGACTGATCAAATAAATATATATGTTTAAGA